AGAATTTTCGCCGTCGCGCAAACCCTTTCTTTACGAGTTTTGCGCGACAGAACTTGCGCGACCAAAATTTCGTCGCGCAAAGTTTGCGCGACAAAATTTTCCTTTGCGCGACCAAAAATCATTCGTCACGCAAAGTGTTTTTTGTAGTAGTGGCACCGACACATTACACACTTCAGACAAATGCATGTACAGATATCATTTTGCAATATATGCATATAGAGGCTTTTATATAGTAAAGATGTCCTTATTTTCCTGATCAGGAAATCAATGATCGAACCTGATCACTTTTTTTATTCTCTTACAAATTAAAGATTATCCAACTTTTTCATTTCTGTTTTATTTAATGATTGTTTTTTTAAACACATTTTAGATTACTAAAAGACTTCGAATTTGGATGATTTTTGGCATGAATAATCTAAAATATAGACGGTGTCGATCGTTAAAATATATTGTTATGTAATCCTAAGAAGGATGTGTACACTTTTCTTGCAATAAGACATCCTTAACATAGAAAAACTCTATATGTGGTGCAGATTCAATGGTCGGGACCTGTTGAAGAGGTTAAAGGGGAAGAAGATACTATTCGTAGGGGACTCTCTAAGCCTCAACCAATGGCAATCACTAACATGCATGTTGCATGCTGCAGTGCCCCAAACCAACTATGCCCTAACAAGGAAAGCCGACATCTCTGCGTTTTCTTGGCCCGTGAGTTTTTCTGATAATCATTATAAATAATGCTACTCTTACTACATTTGTATATTACATTCCCATATCATCTTATGTGGCAGATGACGTGTACATCCACATCAAATAAAATTAATTTAATATTTCTTATATTTTATGATTTATTGACACTTTTTAATTGATGTGATTGTCAACTTCATCTGCCACATAAGGTAGTATGAGAATGTGGTATACAAATGTGGTAAGAATAGCATTACGTAATTATAATTAGTTAGAGCGTAACAAATCTACAAATTTTCAAGTTCAATCAAATCTGAAAATCAAATGGATGCTGTTACAATAGTTCAATCAAATCTGCAAATTTTCAAGTTCAATCAAATCTGAAAATCAAATGGATGCTGTTACAATAGTTCAATCAAATCTGCAAATTTTCAAGTTCAATCAAATCTGAAAATCAAATGGATGCTGTTACAATAGTTCAATCAAATCTGCAAATTTTCAAGTTCAATCAAATCTGAAAATCAAATGGATGCTGTTACAATAGTTCAATCAAATCTGCAAATTTTCAAGTTCAATCAAATCTGAAAATCAAATGGATGCTGTTACAATAGTTCAATCAAATCTGCAAATTTTCAAGTTCAATCAAATCTGAAAATCAAATGGATGCTGTTACAATAGTTCAATCAAATCTGCAAATTTTCAAGTTCAATCAAATCTGAAAATCAAATGGATGCTGTTACAATAGTTCAATCAAATCTGCAAATTTTCAAGTTCAATCAAATCTGAAAATCAAATGGATGCTGTTACAATAGTTCAATCAAATCTGCAAATTTTCAAGTTCAATCAAATCTGAAAATCAAATGGATGCTGTTACAATAGTTCAATCAAATCTGCAAATTTTCAAGTTCAATCAAATCTGAAAATCAAATGGATGCTGTTACAATAGTTCAATCAAATCTGCAAATTTTCAAGTTCAATCAAATCTGAAAATCAAATGGATGCTGTTACAATAGTTCAATCAAATCTGCAAATTTTCAAGTTCAACCAAATGTGTTTGTACTGGTGGCAGCAGCTTCAGTACTTGCATATTCTGCAAAAAATAAATCCACACATGTTCTTATAACCAAATGCAACATTATAAAATAATAAACAATTAAAAAGCCTAAACATTTAAGATCAAATTAAAAATAAATACAACATTATAAGTAATAATTAATAAACATAGTAAACAAACCTAATTCAACACTCTCATAAAACTCATATTCTTCAGGAGTAGGTTCATCTTCTAAAGTTGTGCAAATGTCATCTCCCTTCAACCAATTTTGCATACATGCAGACTGGTGCATAGAACAAAAGTATCATATGGATATCATTAATAGATTCATAATAATAGTAAAAACAAGTTTCAAGGCTTCTTACCATTCCAAATTCCCAATTGGGGCTTCAAGCTACGTTGGAGAGCTGATGCAAGAATAATTTAACTGCAAAGCTGCACCAAATGACAAATTAATATTACTTTGGGTTTGATTATGATATGATACCAATTAATTCAAATGGCTGGTCTTGATTACATTCATAATTTAAATGATTAATTGAACCCACGTGTGCTACCATTGCATTTCATGTTGTAAGAAGATGAGACAATATAAAATTTAATGATAGTAAATTAATGCACAATTTATATGCTTATATATAAGAAAACAGACCATGGAATGCATAAAAGATATTTGCATTTGGTATCGAAATGCCAACTTGTGGTCTAAATGCTATGGCATTCAAAATTCATTTATTTTGTACTTAGGGTCTGAGATGTATGAATTTAGGTTTGAAATCCAACTATTTCAAATCTTGATACTTGATTAGTGATGTCGTGTACCATTGGAGGTCTAGTTTGTCATGGAATAGAATTGATGCTGAACCACAGTTATTGTGCCTGAAATCTGAGCACAGAAACTTCTTTAAGAACATAACTATCAGATATATATACATATACATAAACAGTAAACTGACAGTAGCCCATATGCATGTTAATAATTCATGTCTTCCCAAAATCAAAACCAATCCATCCTAAATAATAAGAGAATTGATACCATATGGTATTAATAGATTCCCACACATGCTTACAGAACCAATTCATGTCTTCCCAAAATCAAATAATCTCTCAAATTTGAAAACAAATACCTGAGATTGGTAGCAGAGGGTAAGGCTTGAAGAAGAAGATCCTACAAATTCGGAGAGACTTCGGGTTGGGTTGGGGCTTTCCTTTTCCACGGGTTTGGTTTTGCCGTTTTGGAGAAGAACAGAGACAGAGAGACAGAGAGACAGAGACAAAGGAGGATGAGGAGGAGAAGAAGATGAGATCGATTGATGTTGTGGAGTTGGGAACAGATTCAATTTGATTGAGAAAGGAGAAGAGAAGAGAAAAATCAGACAGAGGAAAGGAGAAAGGAGGAAAAAACGCAGAGAAACAAAGAGGCAGTCGACAAAAACATCTCTATGGACTTAGGGTTAGAACTGAAATGAAAATAGGAATTAATAAAATAATTTACTATTCGGTACGGTATGACATCAACCGGGATCACAAATGTGAAACTGATGTCGTGTCAAACAGTAACGGGATGACACGGTATCATCCCGTTTACACATCAACACCAAACGGGATGACACGAAATTGACACGGTTTGACACGGTTTCGGGATGACTTCGGTATTTCGGTTTTGATGCCCACCCCTAACCGTGAGTTTTTATAAGGAGAACATGTTCATCTTGAAATTAACCTTAAATTATTAGGTGTAGGGCCCAGTGAATATATAATCTTATTATTAGGCACACTTTGGATTTTGTAGGATTATGATGTTTCAATTAGGTTATCTCGCAATGCATTTCTGGTGGACCTAGTGGATACAAAGGAAGGCAGGGTTCTAAAGCTGGACTCTATTGAAAACGGCAAAACATGGAAAGGATACGACGTGCTTATCTTCAATACTTGGCATTGGTGGCTCCACAAAGGAAGCAAACAACCGTACGTGAAACATAAACCACATACAAAACACAATTATTTGCACTGCAATACGCAATTATATATTCCTTAAGAAATAAAAATTATTATTATAATACATAACATGGGTTTAGCTAAGTTGGCTAGAGCGAATGTGCTCCCCATTTTGCACCCGAGTTCAAATCCCCCACTTTATAATTTAGATGGGTTTAAAGTAAACTATCACTTGTATAATATATATATAATTAGTAATTAGAAGCCTTAATTTGCATGCATTAATTAATTATGTTGTCTTATGAGAGTTTCAGATGGGACTACATAGAAGCAGGAGGTAAGATAGTGAAGGATATGGACCGTTTGGATGCTTTTAGAGAGGGATTAACTACTTGGTCCAAGTGGGTGGACTCTAATGTTGATGCTGCCAACACCAAAGTTTTCTTTCAAGGCATTTCTCCAACTCATTACATGTACGATTTCCTCTTTTAACCCTCAAATTAACCTTAGTCTTATTCAAATTCTTTGTCATTTCACCATATAGGATATGGAAAATTTTCATTTGACTTATTGCAATTTTACAAGTTCGAGTTGAACTTTTCAATAACTATATTATATATACAATCTAAGAGAACTCGGTTCTTTGCAAATCGAAAAGGGTAAAGTATATCAATTATGTCCTTATTAAGTTTAACTTTTTAGTACAAGTGATAGTCTAAACTACCGGGAGGGGGTTTCTCACACACACACAACTGATGTCATAGGGGTTCGAACCTGAGACCTCTAGTCTGCAAGCGAAGACCCTTTTTCCCTGGGCTAGACCCTATTAGCCCTTATTAATTTAATATTTATAAAAATATGGTTAACTTAGTAATTTAATCACACACTTTTCTTCTTCCCTGACTTCCATCTATTATTTAAATTAGTCATATATTTAATCAAATATAGTGTAAGCTTTAATCAATTTAATTACATAAAATTGCCAACAAGGTCTAACCTAGGGAAAAATGATATTGACTTGCTATTGCACCTTAATAGTGTGTGTGAGAAACCCCCCGTTATAGTTTAGATTATCACTTGTATTAAAAACAAAATTATTAGATAGGATCTATCATGCATACACATGTTATATATTCTTACTATTATTCTCCCTAACTCCGGAAATATTTAATTAACAAATATTATTTTGCGAATATATTGTTACTGGTGGAGCAGACAGCAGAGGAAAAGAATGGGACGAGTCAGAGTCAGCAACTTGCAAAGGACAAAATCAACCTGTAAGTGGTTCAAAATACCCAGGAGGATCACCAGCAGCAGCAACTTTGGTCAACCAAGTGTTGACGGCCATGTCATCGCCAGTAACTTTGCTGGACATAACATTGCTATCGGAACTGAGGAAAGATGGGCACCCATCTGCATATGGTTTGGGTGGAGATAAAGGAAACGATTGCAGTCACTGGTGCCTTGCTGGTGTCCCTGACACCTGGAATGAGCTTTTTTATGCAAGTCTTGTGGCTACTGACTGAGAATTATTTAGAATGGGAAACAAATACATAAATGTATAAATTACTTGGCTACAAATGAAGTGGGTGGTAGCCTCTATTCTATCTCATCGTTTATTTCAAACTAATTAATTCATCTAAAAGAACAATTCAACTTTGTTTCTTTATTTCAAGGTTTTGGAATTTCTCTTTTTCTGATTTTGAAAATTTTGGGTCACATCAAACGGAGAACATACCTATTTTATGTGATCATAATTTTAGCATTGATTAGTATCTAGAACAGAAATCAACAAACTTAACCAAATAATGTAACTAATTAAATAAGAAGATCAAGGAGTTAATGTGGTTCGGAAATGTACTTTCGTCCATAGGACATCAATATCAAAATAACCAGAAGTGGCCCTGACATGGTGCAAGTGGTGCCACTGAACAGGCCCCCAAATATTTTTTTTAAAACGTTATATTAATAGTATAAAAACTGTATATTAACTCCAATAGGTAGCACAGTGAAACAAAAGTGTATTTGGTGAAGCTTGTTTCTAGCGCATATTCATTGGTACAAAGCCCAAGTTCGATTCTCAGTGATGTCATTCTAAAGATTCAACTAAACTAACAGTATATATCACACCCAAACCCAAAAAAAAGGGAACTTTCTTCCACTCAAAACAAAACCAAAAAATAAGGCTCCAGTTTAAGTTTAGGGTTTAAGTTTTGCACAAGACCCTTAAAATCTCAGGACTAGCCTTGAAAATAACGGGTACAAAATTGATAGATCTTTAATAAGCCAATGCCCCAGGGGTTGATGTCAAGAACCACACTACTCACTCACTCACTCACTCACTCACTCACTCACACATTTATATCCCTCTCACTCTCACTTGGTGTGGAATACTTGATTATATTCTTGAGGTGGATCACCTCACTTTTCAAATGAAATCAAATGATGAGAATAATGCTCCTTATATATAGGCATGGCAATGGTTAATTTGGGTGGCTTAATTAATCGTCACTTATTATCACTTGACATTGAAATTTGTAAATACGATACAAATGAATAAATGTTGTATTCTGGTAGGTGGTTGCAATCCCAGCATGCGCAAGAGAGAAGAAACTGCAGTAACCAGTCAGATGCTCCTATGGAAACATGGCAATCCTTTACCGGAGCGCAGGTAAATCATATAATAATACATCTTTGACGTATTTTACTTTGTATAAGGAAAAGCCTTCCAAACAGCCTTGCGTGGAAGGAAAATACCATTTAATGTTCATGGAGAGTGGCTAACGGGGTTTATGGGATTTTCATCCTGAGCAGTGAGCTGGAATAAGAAGACATAAATACCCGCCCGCCAAGAATTCTAGCTAAACTGGAATACTTACTTTGATGATTTTATCCTTTTAATTCCAATTTTGTTTTTATAATTTCAATGGTTGTTGTCACAACTTTCTATATTTTTATCTCTTCTTCCAAATTCCAATGTTTAAAATTGAAGGGTCTACTAGAATATTTTTAAAATTATATTTAAATAGTACAGCCGCGCGGCCATACGCTTTCAATATATTCGAATATTTAAAGAGTATAGCCGCGCGGCTGTACGCTTAAAATATTATATTTAAACAGCTCTCTCTTTTTTTGGTCATAAATATTTAAACAGCTCTCTGAATATATCCGAATATTTTAAACGTATAGCCGCGCGGCTATACTCTGAATATATTCGAATATTTTAAAAGTATCGCCGCACGGCTGTACCCGTAAAATATTATATTTTAAACGTATAACCGCGCGGCTATACGATTGGAATATATTTGACTAGCCTGTGAGAATAATTGCTACAACTAGATACTCTACAATGCAATGTTTCTAAGATATCATAGCTCATCCTTTGGCGGTGGTTCGACTTCAAGGCACTCTTCATCCCAGTATGTAGTAGGGGAACTTTAATTTTGCTGCAGTGTGAGGCATGAACCAGTCCTCACATATGAACCTGAAACGAAGGAAAGAACTCAGAAGCATCATTCAAACAAAATGAAAAAGTAAAAAATAAAACATGGAAGTGTAATAAAATTGAACCATCCTTAGCAATCCAAAAAAGAAGAAATAAATAACGTAGAATGAGAAAATGAAAGAATGTGTCTGCATATCGTGGTCCTCTTTTTGGATAATGAACATGAAGCAATTTCAAGAAGTATAGATAATAATAAACATTGAAGATGAAAGAAGATAGATTGCATACACTTTAACTGAAGGACGCCTTTTCACTTGTATGCAGGCTTCAACATTGTCTTGCTTTATGTGTATCAGCTACCTGTGGAGTTTCCAGATATGTTACAATGGATAGCTGATTTCATTGGTCTGTTCAAGATAACTTTACATTCGGATTGGACTGAAGTTTGTTCGAGCTTCTCTCTTTTACTTTTCTACATCATGGTACGCAGGGGCGGAGCCAATTAAGGCCTAGAAGGGTCATATGACCCTTCTGACCCAATGGTAACAGTGTACAGATTACCTTATTGACCATTCTGACCCAATGGTAACAGTGTACATATTACCTTATTTCCACTTTCAACATTTAAGTAAATGTCTTTGTCATTTTACTTTTATTTATTTTTATATTACTCCATTTACTAAGGAAGTACCCTCCATTTGGATTCAAATAAAAATAATAGAAAATCAAATTCCCACCAAATCAAAATATGAAAAATCGATTTTAGATTTAGGCTAAAAATGATGGCTCATTAAGTCAATATATACTTCATACTAAAATCCCATAAAATCAAGTTTTCTTATTTGATGTGTGAGGAATAAAAGCCGCCAAAAATTATCTTCAGAAAATGATTATTCCAAAAACCCATTTTTCATACTTAGTCAATATTTTTACATAAAACAATTTTTCATGTATGATATGAATGCATGAAGGAACTAAGGTCAATCTAGGTAAAAAGCCTAATCCACTATGATGTTAAACCCTATTTGGTTTATGTTAAAACTTATTGAAAATTAGTTTATGGAGCTATGAACTAGTGTGGTTTATATGATTTAATGTTTACTTTTATTTTTACAAAGACTATAGAAATTGTAAGTATACGTACCAAAAAAAATAATCATTAAATTTTAAGCTAATAACTTTAGCTAGCCCACCCGTTGAAAAATTCATGATTCCACCCTTGATGAAGCATATGGAAGTGGGAGGTAGAGCAATTGGTTTGACCTTCTACCAAGTAAGTGTTTTTATTCATGTTCAGTTTAATTAGCAACATCTTCCAATATTGTCTTAAAACCCATTAAATATTTTTGGAACAACAACCATCAAAGTTTTCTTATATAATTGAACTTATTCTAAAATATTTATGTAGAAAAACAATGGATACTTAAGATTTTAGGTTATTAATCTATTATCTCATAGTTTTATTCTCATGGCACATCCTTGTATGCATTTTTCTTCTCCTCTAAACCATCCTAGTCCAAGTCTGGTGGTGGTATGGCTTTTCCATTTATCTTGGCTAATAATGTTGACCCTCCTTGAGAGAATTCCTGGCTACGCCACTGATGGTACGTCTATCTTTTATGACATCTACAAATCCAACGCAGTTTATGTAGCAGGATACTTGAAAACCAGTGACTTCAGCTTCTCTACAGTGTAGGTTCTGCAAGTTGATCATGTAATAATTCATTCCTGGATGGTATGGTTTATATCCTCCAAGAAAGTTGATCATGTAAGAACAATGCAGATTTGGATTATGTGCAACAGAGAATCTTATGTTACTTATCAAATGTGTGTGTTTCAATTCTTAAAATCCTTGCCGCATTGCTTACCTTGTTGTGGTTTTTCTTTTACCTTTTCTTCCTTGTAATGCAGCTATCCTGTGTTGATCTAGAGGAAATGGATTTAATGTTAAATGAATGATTCAATAATTTGAGTTGGTCTTATAGAAAGTGCAGTTCAAGTTGGGTTTTAGAAATCAATTGCTCATCTCTCTCATGCTCAAGAGAGAAAAAACTCTTAATCAAATTGAAAGGTCTACTAGAATATTTAAAAAATATATATTTAAAGGGTATAGCCGAGCGGCTATACTGTTCGAATATATTCGAATATTTTAACAGTAGCGCCGCACGGCTGTCCTCTAAAAATATTAAAATTAAAGCGTATAGCCGCGCGGCGATACGTTTCGAATATTCGAATATTTAAATATTTTAACCGGGCTGCTGTACTCTCAAAATACTATATTTAAAGGGTATAGCCGCGCGGCTCTACGCTCTGTATATATTTGAATATTTTAAAAGTATAGCTGCGCGGCTATAAGCTCTAAATATATACAATTTTAAAGTGCTGCCACAACCGAAGAGAAACTCCAAACCGCCACCACCAGCAAAGAGAAACTCCATTTTTCAAAGCATAGCCCACTTGAGATTCACTAATAGATCCAGAATTAATCCAACCAATACCAAAGGACAGCAGCCAACAAATAAGGAATGAGGAAAACCCATTCCACAGCCAAGAGGAAAAGAACCAAGAACCTGGAAGGAAGTGGTGCAAGCACCCGAGCTAGAGCTCTACACACCTTCCAATAAATACGCACCAAAATGCGTTTAAAATTTGCAGCTGCAAACCAAGGATGAGTACAGATCAAAAGGGAGGTGAAGGAATCCAGATGAGCCATGGATTTTGGGTCGGTATGGAGCAGGACCTGCAGGGTAGAGATGGTGGTGGTAGGGGAAATCATGCCCATGGTCTTCATCCCACCAGATTGGAAAAATGGTGAGAAGGAGAGAAATATGATTCAAGGAGGAAGAAGGAGGAAGAGGAGGAGAGGGGAGGGGAGGGGAGGGGAGGAGGGGCAGACCACCTCCCCCCGAAGATGCGGCGCTGAAGGGGGGGGTTTTGTTTCTTTGCTAGGGTTAGAGAGAGATGCGGCACTTTGAATATTCGAATTGGGAGTTTCTGAGGAAATTCGAAGTCTTTGGGAAATGGGTTTTCATGATTTTGATGTTAATCGAAAACCCATTAATTGATGGGATTTTGAATTTGAATTGATTGGATTGGTTCTAAGGGCCTCTCATTGGGAGATTTCTTGGCGGATTTGTGTTGCCTCTGCTGCTGCTAACAGGTATTTAAATGAAAATGCCTTTTATTCATTTGTTTTAATAACCATGTTATTGTAGTAACAGGATATTTCAAGTGGATGTGTTGCACTTGACCAGCTGGTCTAGTTAATTGCAACTCAAAAAAATTTAGCATGCATTTGGATTGGGGGTGCTGATTTCCTTGTTGGGTTTTCTTCAGTTATGTTTTTATGGTAATTTAGATAAGCTAAGCTTGTATGTTGTGTCTATTGCATCAACCATAATGAGTAGTCCGAATTATCATTTGATATGCTATGGAGAAATTCTGGACGCAGAGAACTTACTTATAGATACTGACAATCCATGCGTGCTTAGTAACTGAGGTAAATGTGATAGCATGATTCTGCATTAGTTTTTCTTTTGTTTTCCTTGTCAAAAATCCTAAGTGTGTGTTTATGGATCAAAGAAACAGATTATGCAGTTATAGATTCCATAAAAATATAGAGTAGAAATTTTAACTACTGTTAAAATATATAGTTGACATGATTCCTTTTTCAATGTGCTGTGGGAATTTGATTAAGTGTGCTCAACTTTAGTTTTCTTAAGTAGCTATAACCACATGGATACCAAATTTAGGCATAAATGCTGTGAACTTATTTTATACAATAAAGGAAAATTAAGTTTTGGAGATCTGCTTGATTTTTATTTATCTCATTCAATGTCAAACCTTAGGTTTGATTGGATTCATTCAGAAAAAGCACCTTGAACAATTTTGGTTTACAATGTAACTTAGGAGACAAAAGAAAATGATTTTTGGTGTTTTTGATACTGCTTCTTATTATATTAAATGCAGGAAATTTCTCTACAACATGATGGGGAGAGAGTCGCAACCAAAGGGGGTTGTAGAGAAGAGGGACCAAGAAGGAAGGAGAAAAGGGAGAAAAGGGTCGAGAAAAGCGACTTTGTATTATCTTAATTAGATTACATTTGTATTTGGTTGGTCCCTCCCCTTTGGCAGCACAAAATTAGAAGTAGACAAAGTATCGTAACGGCTAACGTAACCGTGATTAGAAAATAAAAGAGATACGGTGGCTGACGGCATCTGGGACTGGGAATATGCACGCACATAAACACAGCACAAACTTCTTGAATTATCGTTAACTGTATTTGATTAATGGCATGTTTACTAGTCAGGAATTGGAATTCTCATCAGGAATTGAATTCCGCCTATAGAGAACTCCTGCGTTTACTTCACATAAGGAATTGAAAAAGTAAGCGGGGCCCACACAAAATTAGGAATTGAATTCCTGATTTTGGAGGAATTCAATTACTGAATGGGAGGTGGTATTCTAATTCCTGGAGAATTCACCCATTAGGAATTCATCTTTTTTACCCATTATATCCTCACACAATTTTCAAAATTCCAAATACGCCATCTACTTTAACCAAAAAATGAGGACATTTTAGTAATTAGTACCACTTATACCCCAATTCCTTATGGTTTAGTAAACAACTTCAATAGGAATTCGGAATCTAACTCCCCTCAATCCATATGGTTTAGTAAACAACTTCATTAGGAATCCGGAATCTAATTCTCCTCAATCCAACTCCTCCTCAATTCAATTCATCCTCAATTCAATTCCCCCTAATTCAATTCCGGATTAGTAAACATGCCATAAATGCATTATATTTGTGTTGGAAGCTGGGCATATTATATTCTAATATCAAGATATAACGCTATAAAATAAAATAAAAATGTTTAAGCGTGACGAGATGCTTTCTGTTACACTCAACTTGGTTAATCTCTTCCTCCTCATTCCTTTTTCAACTGTATAAATAAAAGAGATGCTTGCTGTTAGACTCAACTTGGTTAATGTCCAATGCAATAAAAAGTTCATGTACCTGCAGCCATATACCACTTCAATTAATAAATGCGGAGTAGTCCAACTTGTAATTAGCACTATAGGCAACTTTTGGTTCCTTTTCCCGCCAACACTCTCTTTGTGGTTTGCTCTTGGATCGAGTTGCTCTGCAAAGTGAGGAGGTCGTTGGATCAACACCAATGCCCTGATTGGATTTCTAGCTCGCGAAGATGATTCTTTCAACTTCTGAACAAATTGAAAGTTGAATCAAGTTGACAAGAACAAGCGAGCTCGGGCTAGGCCCTATCGGCTTGCTCCATCTATCCTGATCGTGAGTTGCGTAGGTGTGCCACTATTGGGTATGAGACCAGCCCAATAGACCTGGTATAGGTGGTGTAGGATGTTGATTTGTTGTATTTGCGCTTACTCTGGACTTCCACTCAAGCCATTGTGCTCCAAGGGGGTAACTGGCCTAGATAAGTTCTTTTCTATGCCTCAATTAAGAGGCCTTCAGTATTCTTTCATTTGGGTGTGTCAGTTTGATAGATACAAGCAATACCTAATCAAACAAGGGAGAAAGTAGAGTTGTGGTTCATGGTACCCTATCTGAGTTTAGAAACCTAACTCAAATCCAATGAGCCTTAGATTGGGCCAAGATTTTGGTCTATTCGAGCCAATGATATAGTTTGGGCCTGAATTAACCTTTACTTTCATACTAAAATGAAACCCTCTTGCGGACCTAGACCTCCGTTTTAGGTCCGAACTAGTAAATTTAAGCAATATGAAAGCGGGAAATTAAACTAGTTTATATATATATATATATATATATATATAAGCAATTAAATAGCGGATATTTAAAGAAACAGTAAAGATAAATTTCAAGATTCCTTTATCCGATTTTAACTTGATAATAAAGAAAGGCAGGAGTTATAGACTTATCCATTTAACTAATTCAGAATATCAATTACAATGTAAGGAAGACTGGAGATTTCTCTATCCAGTTTGAGCGATACATGAATTCAAACTAATCATTTAAAAGAATTAGTACCATAAGGATGGCAAAGCAACCAAAGATGAACGCAGGAGTTGTCAACTAGTTATCTGAATATCAAGCAGGTTTTTTTGAAAAGATCTTGAGTTTTTTCAAGTGTTTTCGAGACATTGTGTCTAATTTTTGAGAGAGAGTCCTCTTCTTCTATTGCAAAGGCTCTATATTTATAGGCGAGAAATCTCAATGATGAAAGCTGAAAGAAGACATTTGACCGCTATCCAAAGTCAGCTGTTGGTCTGGACCAATTTATAGGTGAGAGGATGGAATGTCTATAACCAAACCGCTGGTTATACAAGTGTTTCTGTGACTTGTATTCTCAATATCTGGAAATCTAGTTGGCAATCGACTGCTTCCGGTGTAACAACCCAAACCTTAATTAATTTTTTTAATTAATAATTTAATAGAGGGAAAGACTAGTATACCCTTAGAATATTTTATTAGGTTTTAAGTTGACCTTTTGACCGGAGAAGAATTTGGAGTTTCCGCTGGTACCGTTGCGTTGAGTACGACGAAACGAGTCCGTAGACACGTAGTGGACTCGAATCGGACTTGTAACGAAGAAGATACAAGCAAATTAAGTTCATGGGGCAAATTGGTAATTTGACAAGTCAGATTTTTTTTTAAAAAAAAATCTGTTATCTTCTTCTCTCCCCCATTCGAACAGACCAGCCCCCTTTTATTCTTCTCTCTTCCAGCCACCTCCAAACCACCATAACCACCATCACACCCCACCCCAACCCACCAGACCGGCCAAGGAAGCACCGCTATCACCTCTACTACTCAGCCCAGCCTTCCCGCCGTCGCAGCCATCGCAAACCACCGGAAATCGCCGTGAGGAGCCGTCGGTTTTGATAGATTTTTCACCATCGATTTCTCTCCCATCCGGCCACCAAATCATTCGAGTAAGGTATGGTTTTTGGACTATTTTTCGAGCTCTAGCTGCTGGTTGGGTAGGATTATAGAGATTTTGAGGTTTGATTGGTTAAATTTCGAGTTGAAATTCTGCCAGTTTTGTGTCGCTGTTTTCAGCCACTTCCGGCCACTTTTTGGCCTTAGTCCAAGAACAAAAGTGGTTCCAAATTTGGTGTTTTACCTAGACTAAGAGTTTGGGCCG